GCCCAGGAATTCAGGATTTCTTGTCAACTCTAGGGCGAAGCTGAGCTGTCTGTGAGTAGAAAGTTAGTTTTGGTTTCTATGCCGTTATTTCAAGACTTGTTCAGTGTTCACATTGCTGAGTTCAGTTTTTTAAGTTTGTGTTTGCATATTTAAGGCCAGTATCAAATCTTCAGTCTTCAGTGTCAAAATCTCCTCCTGATTTTGGGTTGGGCCAAGTGGCAGCTGTATTTAGGTCCAATGTTTATGTTGGGCAAAAGACTGCAATTATCCAATTTGTAGCTAGACAGATTACCTAAATCACTTAATAAACTAAGTCATGTAATCTACCTTTTGGATCTGATTATCTGTCCTGTTTTATATGTGATAGGTAGAATAATCCCCTCCAACGCTGCCAAGAAATCTGCGTCGTAATCCATGAACCTATGACCAGGTGGGGCAGCGTGGCAAAGGGAAATTAAGATTGCAGATGAAATTAAGTTTTCTAATCAGCTGCCCTTAGATGGAAGATTGGCCTGGCTTCCCAGGGGCCCCAGTGTAATCCCAAGGGTTCTTAAACGTGGGAGAGGGAGGCAGCAGAGCCAGTGTCAGCCATGCATGTGACCACAATGCAGTGGGCCATGGCTGATGCCAGGATGGGCTAAGGGGCCGTGAGCTGAAGAAAGTGGTTCTTCTAGAGATGGAAAAGGAAAAGCAGGGAAACAGACTCTCCCTGGAGCCTCTGGAAGGAGCACAGCCCCACCAACATCTTAGCCCAGGGAGGCCCACGTCAGACTTCAGCAGATAGAACTGCAAGGAAATAAAGTGTGTTATTTTAAGCCACCAAGTTTGTGATAATGTGTTACGGGAGCCATAAAATGAGTGCACTCTTCTGCGTACTGAAGTTAAGTTGCTGCAGATTTTTCAGTATCTTGGCTTAAAGTCTCAGTCATTCTGAGGTAACGAAGCATGAGTTACAGTCTCTTCGGCTAAACCACTGCTTGGAATACTGTCCACGGAAATGCTGCAGGGTGGACCGAGGTGGACAGATGCTCTTGGCAACGGCACCCCACACTGCAATGGGGCCATCGGTCTCTGTGGAACCCTGCGCTCCCCACGTCTGAGCTCTGCTGCAAACTCCATCTAACTGGAGGCAAGTGTCTGTAGCAGTCTCAGTCCACTCAGTGCCGCTGTCACTGAGTAGCCGAGAATGGGTGATTTAGAATGATTTATTTCTCACTGTCCTAGAGGCTAGGAAGTCCAAGATCAAGGCATCATCATAGGGTGAAGGCAAAAGGGCAAGAGACAAAAGGAGCCAAACTCGTCTTTTTATAACCATCAGTCCCACCTACGGGTGCAGAGCCATCGTGGCCGAATCGCCTCTTAATACTGAGGTGATACTGCTACAACAGGAACTGGCTTTCAGTGAATTCTGGAGAACTGTGGACACTTAAACCATAGCAGATATTGTCAGGCAGAGCTGCTGTGGACGAAGCTACCACAGAACTGGGCAAAAATTGTCCGAGTCTGAGCACTGTGGGGAAGTGAAACCTGAAACTAAGTTCATGTCAGCCTGAGAACAGACCAGGAATCGAGAGGTACAGGGAGGTGTAACATGATCTGCACATCAATTAAAGAAATGTTATTTCTTTTTTTTTTTTTTTTGAGACAGATCTCACTTGTTGCCCAGGCTGAAGTGCAATGGTGTGATCTCAGCTCACTGCAACTTCGGCCTCCCGGGTTCAAGCAATTCTCCTGCCTCAGCCTCCCAAGTAGCTGGGATTACAGTCACCCACCACCGCACCCAGTTAGTTTTTGTATTTTTAGTAGCGATGGGGGTCTCACCACGTTGGCCAGGCTGGTCTCAAACTCCTGACCTCAGATGATCCACCTGCGTCAGCCTCCCAAAGTTCTGGGATAACAGGCATGAGGCACCGTGCCTGGCCAGAAATGTTATTCTTTTGCCACATTCTCTAATTCTTGAAAAGCTTGAGGTGGACTTCTGTCCACCGTGACTTGTGCCACTGTCGTAATCAGTTTAATAGCAACAAAGTGGCCAGGTGCAGGAGCTTGTACCTGTAATCCCAGTGCTTAGGGAGGCTGAGGTAGGAGGATGACTTGAGGCCAGGAGTTTGAGACCAGCCTGGGCAACATAGTGAGACTCTGTCTCTACAAAAATAAAATAAACATTAAAAACGTAGCTGGACACAATGACACATACTTGTAATCCCAGCTACTTGAAGCTGAGGTGGGAGGATCGCTTAAGCCCAGGAGCTCGAGGCAGCAGATAGATATGATCACTCCACTGCACTGCAGCCTGGGCAATAGAGTGAGACCCTATCTCTACAAACAAAAAATAGCAACAGGGTTTACAATTGTTGAAAGAAGTCAGTTCTTCAGAGGATGCCTCAGAATCTAGGCCAAAGATCAGGGTTCTAATAGGCAAAGAGAGAATGAGAAGGACACTTAGGGCAGAACCTGGGTGCCCATGCCTACTGCTGCAGACTGGACTGAGGGGTCTGCGGTAGTCACAGACGTAAGCTTGTGGCTGCAGCATGGGTGGACCTTGGAAACAGTGCTCAGGGAAAGAAGCCTGTCACAAAAGGCCACATGATGTATGATTCCATTTATAGGAAACATCCAGGACACGGTAATCCATAGAGATGGAAAGAGATGGGTGGCTGCTTAGGACTGGAGGGGTCGGGGGAGTGGGAAGCGACTGCTGACGGGTGTGGGGTTTCTTTGTGGGATGGTGAACATGTTCTAAAGTGCATCATGGTTTTGGTCTCACAACTTTTGAGTATATCATAAACCATTGAATGGATGAATTGTATGGTGCACGAATTATTCTCAGTAGAGCTGTTAAAAAAACAAAGCAGGCATGCAAGGCCACTGTCTGATGGAAAGCTTAGCCAAAGTGGTATTGGGCTTTGCTGAGAGCAGCTTCCCAGAGTATTGTAGAGGCGTTGGCGGTACCTGCCGGTACCTGCTTTCTGGCATGGAGTCTACCGTTCCGTTTCTACCTTTTTTCTGAAGCTTTTGGTTCTTGGTGTCAGTGTTAGGGATTGGTTCATTGGTCAGTGACTCAGTGGCCTTACTAAACAGCTTCTGGTGTGTGTGGAGCTGTCCATTTTTCCTTTGCTTGCTAGGAAGGTCCCTATTCCTGCAGGGATCCTGGCCAGTTTGGTAACCGGAAGACTGAGGTGGCTCCACTGCTGTGGGAACAGCCACAGCGGGAGGCCTTGCTGTAGTTCTCTGTGGGTCCTTTTTTTTTTTCTTTTGAAACAGAGGCTTACTCTGTTGCCCAGATCTCCTGCCACCTCTACCTCCTGGACTTAAGCAATCCTCCTACCTCAGCCTCTTGTTGGGATGTTGGTACAGGTCAGCTCATTTAGTGGTGGCAGGATCGCCTCTCAGCCCGGGGCTCCAGGAGCTGTAGCCAGGGCAGCTGCCCCTCAGTCATCTTGGAAACCCCCACAGCTAAAAGAGGTAACATTGGCGCAGTGGTAACTCCCTGGCAGCGGCTGGAGTGCCCGAGGCCAGAGCCGCTCTCCCTGCTGCCCGTGCCACAGCCTCAGGGCCTGCCCCTCTCCAGCGTCCCCACTCATGCACCAGGGAGAAGAGGGGAGGCTGCCAGGAGCCAGTGGCTCAGCTTATGATTCAGCAGGTGGAGGAGCCACCACTGAGGATGCTGCTGGTCACCTGGGTAGAGGTTAAAGCCCATGAAGATGGACAGGTCTGTAATTTAACAAAGAAAAGAGAAAACAGCTCGTTATTCTGCAGAAAGTGACACTTTGGCGTGTGCACTGAAGTAATTAGCTGTAATAGGAGTATAGCGGAGGGCGAGACCCTGTTGAGCTGGGCAGACCATGGTGCCTATGCACCTGTGCTGGTGAGTGTAGAGGAGCAGGGCTGACCGTTGGGACGGGTGGTGCCGTGTGGCTGCAGTGTCTTGGGAGAGTGGCTGGAAAGGAAGGTGGGAGCCGATCTCTGCAGGATTTTAAACAGGAGTGCTCAGGTGACCTGGGTTCCCTGCTGTGTGGGGTTTACTAACACCTGCTAGGGGCTTGTTTTCATGACAGCCCTGACAGGTGGTTATCAATATTCCCGTTTTACAGATGAAAAATTGAGTCAGATCAAGTGGTTTGACTCAGTTGGTCTATGTGACCCCACCCAAGGTCACATAGCTAGTGAATGGCATAGTTGGAATTTGAACCAGCTGGTGTTTCATCTCCTATATTATGCTTGCATTCTCTCTGAAGAGGCAAAACTCTCCCGTGAAACAAGGAAGACACTCAATGTGGCATTCACTATTAGCCTAAACCACATCCAAGTGCCATTTTTATAGGTCATCATGGTCAATTATAAGCAGTGTCCCAGCAATAGCTGAGGTTTGGACAAAGAAACCTCTCCAGGCAGGAATGGGCAGCAGAGGTTTCATGGCAGAGCTAGGAATGAAGCAGAGCCTTGAAGGCTCTGTAGACTCTAGATGGATAGAAATGAGGTAGGCAAGTCTGGACCCCGTGGCTCACGTCTGTAATCCCAGCACTTGGAGAGGCCGAGGTGGGCAGATCCCTTGAGGTCAGGAGTTCAAGACCAGCCTCACCAACATGGTGAAACCCCATCTCCACTAAAAACACAAAAATTTGCCAGGCATGGTTGCACATGCCTGTAGTCCCAGGTACTTAGGAGGCTGAGGCAGGAGACTCACTTGAAACCGGGAGGTGGAGGTTTCAGTGAGCTAAGATTGTGCCAATGCAGAGTGAGACTCCATCTCAAAAAACAAAACAAAACAAAACAAAACAAAATGAGGCTGGAGAGGCTGGGTGAGAGGTGGGGTGGTGAGGAGATAGCCCGAAGAACAGTTGCCACGGGGCTGTCCATAAGGGGTGCACATGTGGCCCAGGGGTACCAGGAGGTGATTGTAGGTGACAGCTGGGTCCTGGAGACCCCTCCTTTGCAGCGGACAGGTGGGATTTGGCCTGCAGCTCACTGTTCTGATCCCCACCATGCTGTTTCTGTAGGAAACAGGTGAGCAGATCGCTATCAAGCAGTGCCGGCAGGAGCTCAGCCCGCGGAACCGAGACCGGTGGTGCCTGGAGATCCAGATCATGAGAAGGTGAGGCCTGGCGTGCAGGGACCCGAGGGAAACCTGGAGCACCAGCCCCCACTGCATCTGAAAGGAGAGCCATAAATCTCAGCCCCTCCATCAGGATGCCAGCCTGGCAGTCTCCGCAGCGACTCTGCTGCTTCTAAAGACGCTAGAGGAGGAGCAGCTAAGTCCACACGGGGCCTCGTCAAGGGCTTTTTATCAATTTCGTAATATTAAATAATTTAAACAATTTAATAAGTTATCATGGTGACTTTTCCTTTGTCAGCAAAAAAGCGTTCTTTCCTCCTATATTTCCAATTTCAAGGTAGTACGTGACCGTTCTCTGCTGTCATGCTGCTGCTGACATTTATTCCTCCAGTATGGAGACCAGGCTTCCGTCTGCCTGGTGGCTGCTGTCCTCCTAGCTAGTGAGGCATTAGGTGGGCTCCAAAAGAGCTAGCGAGGACACCACGCAGGGGCTCCTCTGCCAGCCTCTTAAAAAGAGGAGGTGCCATTTGGTTACATCATGGTTGCATTTGGTTACATGAGTTCCTTCTTAGACCCCTTTCTGCATGTCCACCTGGGGGTGATGTGTGTGCGTGAATCAACCTGCCGAGAAGTAAACAGAGAAAAGAAAAAAAATACGAAAACAAAAATCAGGCACCACGTTGTTTGCCCGCTAGCGTGTGTGACACGTCCTCCCCATGTGGAGGGCATGAGATTGGAAGACCCTCGTAGGAGCAGTTTGGCAGCACGATGAGGACTTGGGATGTGGCAGGCACGAGAAACCCAAGTCACATGCAGCGTGCCCTCGGGGTCTGAGTTCTGGTGCTGTGGGTGGGGCTGGGCCAGCTCCACTGACCCAGGCACTGCAGTTGGCCGCCCATCCTGGGCCCCGTCTTCCTCTGTTTGGAAGCCCTGGGTTATCCTGGGCCTTTGTTGCTGAGAGCTGGTGGGGGTGGCAGGGATGGGTCTGGGCAGGAGCTCTCATTGGTTTTCCTCCTTCCTAGGCTGAGCCACCCCAATGTGGTGGCTGCTCGGGATGTCCCTGAGGGGATGCAGAACTTGGCGCCTAATGACCTGCCCCTGCTGGCCATGGAGTATTGCCAAGGAGGAGATCTCCGGAAGGTGAGGCTCCTGCAGCCACCAGGTGCACAGCCTGTCCAGGCAGGTGGGACACCAGGAAGGGGTACGGGGAGACCTTTCACTGCTGTCATCATCAGGAAGCTTGGGGAGCCCCAGTGACTCCAGCAGGACTGCTTTGCCTTTCAGATCCCCTGTTCCCTGCCCACCTGGGGCTGCTGTGTGTGTGAGTCAGAGGCACTTCCGAGAATGCCAGGGAAGGGGGAAGGGCGTGCTGCATACTCTGCTGGGATTACTCCAATGACGAGGAAACTCATCACAGGTCTGGGCGTGGGGAAGGCTGGGCGAGTTCCAAAACAAATGCTTCCTCCCTGGACACATTACGGCCACTTCAAGCCTTTGGTGCTAGCACCATTGCTGTCCTTATTAGGAGGGATTTTATTCCAGAGATAGGACAGCACCGCACATGGTGGTGGGGAGTGTAGCAGGGAGGGAGCAGGCTTTGCGATCAGGGAGCTGGGCCAGGGCTGCAGACCCAGCCCACCCATCCGACCCACCTGACCCACCTGGACTCATCTGTGGGGCTCTGCTCTCCGCCTTCTCACCACACCACCTCTTCATGGCAGCCCCTCCTGGCCCCGGGAGCAGTTCTGGGTACCCTCCTTTCCATTGTTCTCAATGGCAGAACACAGCCTGCTAGTTCATGTTACCTCATTCGATTTCCAACAGCTCACACATGGGTGCACAGTATGGTTCCTACATCACAGGTGGGTGTCGTGACCCGGAGAGGTTGGGCCTCACATAGCTTTAGCAGCAGAGCCTGGGTCCCAGCCCAAAGGGGCCCAACCTCAGGCCACCTCTCCGTCTGTGAGACTGAATAAGACCATATAACATAAAAACTGCAAGCTATGAGCAAAATAAGTTTTTTGTTTGTTTTTGAGATAGAGCCTCGCTGTGACACTCAGGCTGGAGTGCAGTGGCATGATCTCGGCTCACTGCAACCTTCGCTTCCTGGGTTCAAGCGATTCTCCTGCCTCAGCCTCCCGAGTAGCTGGGATTACAGGCGTGCACCACCATGCCTGGCTAATTTTTGTATTTTTAGTAGAGACAGGGTTTCACCACATTGGCGAGGCTGGTCTCGAGCTCCTGACCTCAAGTGATAGCCCACCTCAGCCTCCCAAAATGCTGGGATTACAGGCGTGAGCCACCGTGCTTGGCCAAAACAATTTTTATTTTAATTGAAAAAGAGGTCGGTTGCTCTGCGAGTGCAGCCCCCTGCACCTCTCCTCTCCTCTGGAAGCGTCACAAGAGTGGGGGCGGGAGCCCAGGCATTTAATCCCTTTCAGTGGCCGTTCCCAGTCACATGTCAGGCGCTGTTCTCACTGTTCCTCCAGGCCCTTGTGCCTCTTTAAATAAACAAGAACTTTTCACTTTGGGAGGCTGAGACCGGAGAATAGCTTGAGGCCAGGAGTTTGAGACTGGCCTGGGCAACATACGAGGCCTTGTCTCTTCAAAAACTAAAAAATGAAAAATTAGTCAGGTGTGGTGGCGTGCACTTGTAGTCCCCACTACTTGGGAGGGTGGGGTAGGAGGATGGCTTGAGCCAAGGAGGTTGAGGCTACCGTGAGCTATGATTGTGCCACTGCATGCCAGCCTGGGTAACAGAGCAAGACACAGTCTCAAGAAAAAGATAATCCTGTTTCAAAAGAAAGAGATAAATAAAAGGAAATTTTCCATGGGGCTTGGCCTGCCGGAGTGGCTGTCCCTGGAGATGGGCACATCCTGGGAGTGGCACTCACAGCAGGATATGAACACAGCTCTTGGCATGACCCACAATGAGAGACGGGGAACTCGGCAGCACTTTGATTTTCCTCTTTATTTTGCTAACCTTTGACAGTCACCCATTACTAACTGCAGCTGTGTAGAGATAAAGCCATGTTGTAGTGGAGCGGAGAGTTCACAGAGGGCAGCCTGGAAGTAGGTGGGATGTGGCCAGATGACAGAGGGCTCTGAAGTGAGGCAGAGGCTTTTTGACTTGGTCTTTTAGGCGGCAAAGAGCCAACGAGCCAGGGAAGAAGAGATGGAAAGTTTAACATGACCGACCTGGCGTGGTTGCAGGACGATTGAGGGGATGACAGGAAGGCCTCGAATCCTAAGGGACCCTGTCCTTGTGTCACCCAGTGGGGCTGGGGGAGGACACTGTTGTCCGGGGCTCTTGCTATCTGTTGTTTCCTTCGTTCCCTCTAAAAAGTTCAAAATCTGCATTCCACCCATGGGCACAGAGAGGCAGGCTTGGCCAGCACATAGGCACATGTAAGAGTTGATATTAAAAGTCTGTATGCCAGGTGCGTAGACAGACTTGAGTGTTTATGAATATGATGTGAATTCCTGCCTGTGAGGCTCAGCTGGCAAGCTCCTCTCTTTCCGCCTCTGAGGCCAGCTCCAACAGCACAGGGACAGCTGAGGGGCCTGGAAGGCAGGGGGTTGAGGGCTTGGGCTCAAGCTTCACATTGACCCGTGCCTCCTTCCAGCACTGTCCTCTCACAGCTGTGTGAGCCAACAGGTATCCGACCCTGTAACCTCAGTTTCCTCCTCCAACATGGGGATTCCACCTATGGTGGTTAGTATTAAATGAGGTCACACAGGGAAGGGTTTGCCGAGCTAATCCATGCAGAGCTCCTCCAGCACCAGGCACGTAATAAGTGCTCAGTATTTCCTACTGTTACCATCACCCACGTGGCCAGGAGATAGCAGGTGGTTTCCAGTGATGCCTTCCCAGCCTGGCCTGTCTCTGGGACCTTTAGACACAGAGAATTCCTATTGCCTGTACTTAGACTTCGGCCTGCCTTGTTCAGAACTTCAGCAGCCGGTGAGAATCAAACTTTCCCTGCCACAGAGCCTTTGCTGTGAGGATGTGAGAGCCCGGAGGTGGTCAGGACTGCTTCCTCCTCCTCTCCTTTTCCTCCTCTTCCTCCTCCTCCTCCTCCTCCTCTTCCTCCTTCTCCTTCTTCCTCCTCTTTTCTCCTCCTCCTCCTTCCTCCTCCTCCTCCTTCCTCTTCTTCCTTCTTCTCTTCCTCCTCCTCTTTTCTCCTCCTCCTCCTCCCTCCTCCTCCTCCTTCCTCTTCCTCCTTCTCCTCCTCGGGCCAATCCCTGCTAATCCTGCTACCCTGGCTTCCTCAAAAGCAGGTCCCCCGAAGATCAGGGCCTGGGATCAGTTCTCTGGTCACATTGGCTGATAAGAGACACATGTGGACTTCCCGTGGTTTGTGACTACCAGCTCTGACGCTGTTCTCACTTTCTTGACAGTACCTGAACCAGTTTGAGAACTGCTGTGGCCTGCGGGAAGGCGCCATCCTCACCTTGCTGAGTGACATTGGTAAATCCCAGCCCTGGGAGTCAGGCCGCGTCCTTCGGGGAGAGTGTGGTGCCCCTGTGAGTCCCTGCGGAACACCGCAGGCAGACACTTGGGTCCTTTGGTCTCTGTGGAGGGGGACTGGGAACCCAGGGAGGGGGACCCTGGTGGAGTGGGGAGGTCAACAAGGAGCCAGCCAGCCAGACGCTGCACTCAAATAGGTTTCCCTTCCTTCCTGACTAACTCATCAAGTGAATTATGATGTATAGGGAATAACAGATTTCCTTTCCCATTATGAAGCTCCCCTCCCCACTTTCCTGGAATGGCCAGTGCTGGAATACGCTGTCATTCGAATGAGTTTTGTCCCTTGGCAATGAATTGTTCCACTCCCACGTTGGCAGTTCTTTGCTAGCCAGAGGCGTAGGAAAAACTGTCCTTGTTTAATCCCTTGGGTACTGTTGGTGTCCCCAGATGAAGGCGTCTGTGGCACCCTCTGAGAATGCCAAGCTGGCCATTCATGGGGAAGAGTGACCTCAGCCTGCAGAGGCCAGTGGAACCTCCTAGACCCTGGCACCCACTCAGGAGGGAACTGAGGGGTGGGTGCTGAAGGTCAGCACCTGGCCCAGCCTAGGGAAACAGATGTCACAAGGGAGAGGGACTTGCTCAGGGCTTTTTTGTTTTTTTAGAAAATAATCTCCAAGGTTGTTGGTGCAAGTTGATAGTTGGGTCTAAGGTTTAGAGTTACTGAGAATTTATCTTAGACCAGATTTGGAGAATTGATGCCGTTTTCATCCCTCCCCTACCTCAACCTTTCGGAGCTGTATATATTTTTTCTTTTGTTTGCTCAAGTTTTTTTTGGAATATTCTCAAATATATAGAAAAGTTTAAAGAGTAGTACAGTGAAACTCACATACCCTTCCCCTCGGTTCGCCAGATGTTAACATTCTCCCTCATTTGTAAAGCTGTGTCTAAGCTGGGGCCTGGAAGGGTCCATGGTCCAACACTTTGTCTTGCTAGTGTGGGTCTGGTCTCTTCCTGACTGCTGCTTTGGACAGAGGAGAAGCAAGAAGGAAAGGAAGGGGGAAAGTCAAGCAATGACATACTTAAGGTTAAGATCAAAATAGTCTGACATATAAAATTCCCATCTCACTCTGTGCTATGTCTTCATCCCTGTGGGTAGAGTTCACATAGAGGATAAGTTGACATTACACCAGTTTTATTTGACTCGAATGGGCACCCAGTGCTGGCCCAAAGGGACACCCTGTGCATGGCCTGCATGAGTCTCCTCTGTCTACCTAGAGCATATAATCCATCAGTTAGAAATTCCCCTTGTTTTCTTGACACCCTGACCCAAGGCTCACCCATCCACGTTTTGCTTGGAGGCTTACTTGATTGTATCTTTTATCTCAGTGGCCAGATTCTTTATTTGTTCTCTGTTGAAGGCAGGTTAGCAGGTTGGGGAATATTCTCTTGCTTTTCATGGGCAACTTTTATTTTGTTTCTCTTTGGTTAGGGTTTTTTCAAGTTATTTTTCTTGGATGTTTTTCTCCCAGATATTTTTCTTTCACTCTTTAGACTATTGATGACTTTAGCAGGTAGTTATTAAGAAAGTTTTTTTTTTTTTTTTTTGAGACAGTGTCTCGGCCAGGCTGGAGTGTAGTGGGTGACCTCGGCTCACAGCAACCTCTACCTCCCGGGTCCAAGCGATTCTCCTCCCCCAGCCTCCCAAGTACTGGGTTTACCAGCGCATGCCACCACACCCAGCGAATTGTTGTATTTTTAGCAGAGACAGGGTTTCACCATGTTGGCCAGGATGGTCTCCAATGCTTGACCTCAAGTGATCCCCTACCTCAGCCTTCCAAAGTGTTAGGATTACAGACGTGAGCCACAGCACCTGGCCAAAAGTCTTTAAGTTATTGGCATAAGTGCACGTAACTCTTGGCTTCCTCATGTGGTTGTTTATTCTGCAGGTGCTTCCCTACTGATAGTCACAGAACATCTCTGGTTACATATTCTTTTTTTTGTTGTTGTTTTTTTTTAAATATGGAATGCTATGCGAATTTGTGTGTCATCCTTGCGCAGGGGCCGTGCTAATCTTCTCTGTATCGTTCCAATTTTAGCATATGTGCTGCCAAAGTGAGCACTCTGGTTACACATTCTTTTGGTCTGGGTCCACTTTGAATTCACTTACCATTGACTTGTGTGGTAGTTTTTTTTTTTTTTTTTTTTTTTTTTTTTTTTTTTTTTTGAGACAGAGTCTTGCTCTGTCGCCAGGCACCAGGCTGGAGTGCAGTGGCGCAATGTCGGCCCACTGCAACCACTGCCTCCCAGGTTCAAGCAATTCTCCTGCCTCAGCCTCCCGAGTAGCTGGGACTACAGGCATGTAGTCCACCACGCCAGCTAATTTTTGTATTTTAGTAGAGATGGGGTTTCACCATGTTGGTCAGGATGGTCTCGATCTCTTGACCTCATGATCTGACCATCTCGGCCTCCCAAAGTGCTGGGATTACAGGCATGAGCCACTGCGCCCAGCTTGTGTGGTAGTTTTTATATTATTTTATTTAAATTGCGTGTGTGTATATATTTAAATTACTTGTAAATTAGAATAATGAAAACAGGTGGGTTCTCAAGTGCTTATGTGCTGCAGGTCTCCTATACATAGGCAGATGAATATTAAATTCTGTAGGTTGCTGATTCTCTGTTTTTCCTCTCTGTGACCCTGAGTTGGAAATAATTCAACTTTGAGCTACTAACTAGTACACTACAGGTAAACTTTTTTTTTTTTTTTGAGATGGAGTTTTGCTCTTGTTACCCAGGCTGCAGTGCAATGGCATGATCTTGGCTCACGCGACCTCCACTTCCCAGGTTCAAGCAGTTCTCCTACCTCAGCCTCCTGTGAAACTGGCATTACAGGCATGTGCCACCACACCCGGCTAATTTTTTGTATTTTTAGTAGAAACAGGGTTTCACCATGTTAGCCAGGCTAGTCTCGAACTCCTGGCCTCATGCGATCCGCCTACTTCGGCCTCCCAAAATGCTGGGATTAACAGGCGTGAGCCACCACGCCCAGCCTACTCCGTGCCCAGGTAAACTTCTTAAGGGCATAAACTTCAGTCCCTGCTGTATCTCCAGCATCTAGAACAGCAGTACCTAGTGTATATCAGCTTCTCTATAAATATTTGTCAAATGAGGGCTAGGCAAGGTGGCTCACGCCTGTAATCCCAGCACTTTGGGAGGCCGATGTGAGTGGATCACCTGATGTCAGGAGTTCAAAACCAGCCTGGCCAACATGGTGAAACCCCTGTGTCTACTAAAAATACAGAATTAGCCTGGCGTAGGGCCACATGCCTGTAATCCCAGCTACTCAGGAGGCTGAGGCAAGAGAATCACTTGAACCTTGGAGGAGGAGGTTGCGGTGAGCTGAGATTGCGCCATTGCACTCCAGCCTGGGCAACAAGAGGGAAATTACATCTCAGAAAAAAAAAAATTGTCAAATGAATAAAATAAATCCTAAAGGAAATTAAAATAAGTAAGGACCAATTTTTTTTTTTTTTTTTTTTTTGAGATGGAGTCTCACTCTCTTGCCCAGGCTGGAGTGCAGTGGCACAATTTCAGCTCATTGCAACATCCACCCGGGGCCCAGGTTCAAGCAATTCTCCTGCCTCAGCCTCCTGAGCAGCTGGGATTACAGGTACCTGCCACCTCGCCCAGCTAATTTTTGTATTTTTAGTAGAGACAGGGTTTCAACATCTTGACCAGGCTGGTTTTGAACTCCTGACCTCTTGATCTACCCTACCCACCTTGGCCTCCCAAAGTGCTGGGATTATAGGCATGAGCCACCTTGCCCAGCCCTTTTTTTTTTTTTTTTTTAAACACATCAGATGTCCACACATCATGAACAACTCTAGGTCCCATACTAGCTCCTCTGCTTATTAGCAGTGTGACCGTGGGCACATTACTTAACACCCTTTTATTAGCGGTAAAATGGGAGCCTTGCTCACCTTGTTAGAATTGTTGTGGAATCAAATGAGGAGATATAAATAAAGCTCCAAGCACAATGCTCTGTTCCTGCGGAATGTGCACTCAGCAAGTCTTTAGTTCCTTGCTCATTTCCTTCCCGCTCTGGATTTTGATTTTTGGCCTCCCCTTTTGGAAACGCTCAGTGCCTCCTTTAGGGCATGACCTGAGGCTGGATCCAGGGAACACACGGGTGGGTGCCTTCTGAGAGTCCCATCCTGGAAGCGGCTGGCCTTCCTCAGGCCTGTTTCCATCTCCACCACCTTTTGGGTACAGTGCACTCCTGGTTTTGTGGTTGAGGCTGCTGATGAGCTCATGTTTTACATTCATCCCTGTTTTTGATTTGTGTACTAAATCCATTAAATTTATTTTTGCAAGGATCTGGTAGCTGAGCCAGAGTTCATCTAACATAACTCTTTTGTATTTTGGAACATTTCCTGAGCATATTTTGTTCCAGTTTGTTCCAAGCGCTGGCCCCACATTTCCTTTGTTGGAGTTGCCACTGCTGTTCTCTGCCAGGTTGACTTCAGATAAGTGGCAGAGCCACACCCTTGACCACTGGGTCCGGGTTAATTGCCTGGTCTTCTGGGTTAAACCTGTTGGCTTATAACTCTCTTCTGTGCCACTAACCTCCCAGAGACACCCATTCAGAACAGTGTCAAGATAACAGACATGGATAGGATTTTTCCACTGAACTTTACGTTGCCCAAGAAGATGCTGCAGAGTGCCAGAGAGAAATGAGAAGATGACCAGGTGTGACGACTCACGCCTGGAATCCCAGCACTGTGAGAGGCCGAGGCGGGTGAATCACCTGAGGCCAAGAGTTTGAGACCAGCCTGGCCAACATGATAAAACCCCGTCTCTACTAAAAATACAAAAATTAGCCGGGCATGGGGGCATGCACCTATAGTCCAGCTACTCAGGAGGCTGAGGCATGAGAATCACTTGAACCCTGGAGGCAGAGGTTGCAGTTAGCTGAGATCGTGCCATTGCACTCCAGCCTGGGC